GCCCTTGCCTCGCAACGCTGCCAGTTCTGTCAGTTCTATTCTATTCTTATTTCTTATTTCAACCGTTGCGTATATTAGCTGTGACATATGAATCACGATGCTATGACCAAAAAAAATTTGATTGACAGATGATCGTTGATATATGATTGGCTGAATTTAGGTGTTCAGGCTGACGTATAACTAACTGGCCTGCAGAAGATAATGAAAATATTTTATTAATGGATTTTTTTTTATTAAATAGAAATGTTCTAACTTTGGGACAATATGGTCTGATAAAGAGAACATTTATATGCATGTTAAAGCCAGAATGATCTGACATTTAAATATGACTTCCCTATGACTTTAAAAATAAATTAAAAATGAAAACATATGTAAAATATTTTACAATGTGAAAAATATAAATAAAAAAAAAATAAGATAACAGCAAAGTTGATCTAAAAAAAAACAACTCTTTTTGGGATTATTAAATTTCATTTCTGGATTGTTTTTCCCTCCAAATGTCCATTTCCAGGTGTGTTCTTTGCTTGTGAAAATGATGGATCAAATTGTGCTCCATATGTGAGACTGAGCAGCTGGCTGCCAGCTTCCATCCATCGCTGTGACTCTCCTGTTACCTTTGTGTTTTCTCTCTTCAGAGGCTTGAACTCCTTCAGACACGAGATCTGCAGACGGAAAGAGAGAAAGGAGCAGATTTATGTCCGGGCAGCTTTAAAGATGGCGGCCATTAAGGAAGGAGCGGGGTAGATGGAGTGGAGTCTAATGTGGGTGGAGCTCTTCTAAAACTAAGAAAAGCACTTGATTTACCCGTCTGTCTACATTCTAAGCATCACCACCATCAGACGAGGAGCATGAACCAGATCAACCAGACGGACGTCTGAACTGGGAGCTCCCTCTTCTGCAGGTAAAGCTCTCACTGCTGGAACTCCTCCTACGAGTTCTGGACCAGATGCTCAGACCTTCTACTCTAAGCCCCGCCCCCTTAGAGATGAGGGTCCATCAGAATCTGGAGAAAACTGGTTACAGAGTTTCATTAACAAAGATCATTAGCAGGTCCAACCTTTTCCAGGAGCTTAACCTCCACGTTTTTGGAGAACCGATCGATGGACTTTCTGACGGCTGCCGACTCCACCGTCTCCCTGGAAACCAGCAGACGGGTTGTGAGGAGACAATGGCTGCAGGTTTAGACCATGTGACCTCTGACGGGGTCGGTTCTGGGTAGTTTACCGGTACTGCTGGCAGAAATTCACAAAGGCGCTCAGAACCACTTCCAGCTGGGACCCCCCCTTGGCGGCGGGTTCGCCGTCTTCACCGTCGGATTCTCTAGGCTCTCTGGATGACGCGCTGTCTGAAACCCGATAGAAACAGCTCAGATGTTGGACTGGTCCTTCTCCAGAACTTTCTCAGCCTCCTCTAACCTGGTTCAGACTTGGTTCCCAAAGGAAGCCCTCTGGTCTTCTTCGGACCTGAGGTCTGGATCAAAGGAGACGTAAACATCCGGTCCTGCCGCCATGTTCAGGCTGAAAGCAGCGTCTGATTTGAGCTCCTACCAAGTCGCCGTCTTCATCGTTATCTTGGTCAGAGGATAGGGGCCTCCTGCGCTTCTTCTGGGCTCCGTCCGGCTCAGAGTCCTGGTTGGACCAACAGATGGAGAAACAACCTCAGATCAAGTCTACAAACTTATTTAAACCTGGAAAACAGACCATTGAAATTCCAGGATTTTTCCAGACCTCCTTAGAGAGGATCTCCAGCCGGTCAGACGCTCACCTTCTTAGCTGCTGATTGGCTCGCCCCCTCCATCAGCTGCCCGCCCACCGCCGGCCTGAATGGACAGAACGATTTCATCAGGATGATCAGGGGACGCGATAACTATAGATCTATAATGCATAGAGTGGAATATCTGAGGCGTTTGTTGTATTTCTGATAGAGGAGTCTAAGGTCAGCGTGGTTAACCCCTTAATCCCTGGATTTATACCCAGAGACACCAAACTAATGTTGATTTTTTTTCAATCAGATGCTGGATTAAATAGAGAAGACCATTTTCTAGAAGTTAATTTTTCCTTTTAGCTCAGGGTTCAGCAACCTGCGGCTCCAGAGCCGCATGCAGCTCTTTAGCGCCCCCTTGTGGCTCCCTGGAGCTTTTCCAAAATTTATGAAAATGTGATTTTTTTGGTTTGTTTATTTTAATGAAGTTTGCAGGATGTCATACAGATATTTATTATGTTTTCTAATGCTGTAAACATTTGTATAATAAATACATATAAATAATAATACGGTGCCGGCAAAAAAAGAGGAGGGGGTGTCTTGGACCTGGACCATGGATCCCAAAGGGAAACAAAGGAAGATACAGGGAACAGGGGATTCAAATAGACTGAATCATTTGCTTTCATTATCGATGTGGAAGGATTGCCTGCATTTTTCCTTTGTAATGAGAGGTTGTCAAATAATTAAAAAAATTTGAAAAGGCTTTTCCAGCCGAACACCAAGCTGGGAAGAGGAGAAAAAGTGTGATTACAGAATTCTGGATAAATTAGAGGAGAGCAAATATAGATTTAAGAAATGCATTGCATCTCCAAACTCCACTACTGCTGCTATTTTGGTTGCAAGGATGGAAACTGTCCACAGATCCAACAGTTACCCTGAAATCCCACATACTCCGTTTGCGCTCCGCTCCGCTCCAGACCGCCTGCGCAAAGCAAAGCCTACAGCCGCCACTGTGGTCCCCTCCGCTCCGCTCTGAGTTCCTTGGAGATCGTA